GCGGGGCAGGAGTCGGCCAAACGTGCGCTGGGGGCCTAAGCCAAAGGTGCCGGGAAGGGTGCGCAGGCCGGGGTGACAGGTTCCAGAGGCTCGGGTCTAAGCATTGCAGTGTTTCTCCCTCCGGTGTCCCGGGCGCCTCCTAGGCAGGGGTCGGCGGATATTCAATCATTTAAGGTAGGCAGGGTCGGTGATGATGAATTATTTGGGAAGCTTCAAGTCAACGGCTCCCCAACGTTTGAATGCTCAAGCCAAACTGGGAGACGCCCTTGAGGAGCAGTGTCACTGCTGGTAGCTCAAGTTAAACTTTTTCTCCCACCCTGCCACACCCTATGTGCTACCTTCACGTCCACTTGTCGCTGGTCAAGCAAGTGGCTGACTCGGCATGGCGCCTGTAGAGTCTGGTCCAATGGTGATGGCCGTTTCACCTTCGGCCTTGCTGTCAGCTTGAGGGCCGTGTTATGGTTACTTTTCTGTCATCACGGCTATGCTTGCTACGCCTGCAGCCAGGGCTGACCGCCATGAGAGACTGGGACTGTGCTGTCTGCCGCTGCCGTCCGGTTGTCCATTCACGGCTGACCGCCGCCCAGCCATCGTACCTGTTCAGCCGGTCACAGGTATTGAGGATGACTGGGTTTCTGTTGATTTTAATCTATTGAATTTTTATGCTCTGTCCAGAGCTGACATCCGTTGTGGCCGTAGGACCGCCCCTGCGGTATCCTCTCGGTCACCACATACGGATGGAGTGCTCCCACAGGGAGAGTGTCAGATGTCAGATGACACACGCGACGTGGGTCGCATTTCAAACCAAAGCACTTCAGTACAGACAGTACAGACCTGAATTGATTCGCAGAAAAAGGTAGCAGCAGCTGACACATGTTGATTGAGCTTCATCGAATATATATATATAATATATATACTGTATATAGATGTATATAGATGTAGATATATACACATATATGTTCGTTTTGTTGCTGTGCTCAGGTGGAGGTCGAATCTTCAGTATCATGTTTCTTTTGCCACAGGGGAGCCCCATGACCTGTGTGCAGTTCACTCGCCCGGGCCCGTCCTGGGCAATCACCTGACTAAAGAGATGGACTTGTTACTAGTAGCTTCTTGCTACTAGTAGCGATGGTCTCCAACCTAATAGGGATGGCCTCCAACCAATTAACTTAGTAGCTTCTTGCTACTAGTAGTGACGTAGCAATGCACTTGTTCCGAGTAGCGATGCACTTGTTCCTAGTAGCTTCTTGTTACTATAGTGATAATGCCCTTGCTACCACTTGTGAGAGAAACCAACGTCCCAAACTGCCGAACCATCAACGACCACCTGTTTGTCATATGTGAATGTTCGTTTGAGTTGCACCAAGCTATTGGACATGTTCAACAAAATCATAATCACATATATATATTTTTAGGCCTATTGCAAATCTGTAGCAGCGTTTGAGTTTCGATCCAAACTAAACTAAACGCGCGAATCTAGCTTAAGAAAGATATAGGACATGATAGGCCTGACGATGGAACCAAGCCAACCAAGCCGGTGGCAGGTGGCTCTCGGCAGAAGGACGTGTAGCAGCGTGCGCAAGAATTGGTCATGTTGGTGGACACACCTTGTTCCCGGGAGTGTGACGAATCCTGAATGCCGATTGTTGGGGAAAGATGATGTAAGAAAGATTGAGCAAGAAGTCAACACATAAATAGGAAAGTTTAAGCAGGTTCAACAGAATTGTTTGCCAGCAGGGCTACCTTTGGCGCTTCGTGGCCAACATCCTCGGAGAAGATGTGGTCGTGCGCGTTCCCAGTTTGTAGCATTTAGAACCAGTTGTGACAGCCAGAAATTCCAAGCATGCAAGCTTTTCATCAAGACATGCCAGCCTCATCCAACTTCTGCGCTAAAACATGTTTGAACGTGTTTTCTCCTCCAAAGAATAGTTTTCCCCTTATCACCGTGACTGCAAAGTTGATGCACGCTTCCCCTCAGGAAGCTGCAGCTGCGCCTGGCGGAACTTTTGCGGTGTTGCAAGCCTTGCGTGGACCGCCAGGTGCCTTTGAGAAATTGCCCGGAATTTCCTGAGTGTTTTGAAAGTGTGGTCATTTAGTGCGTGATGACTCTCTTGCACAAGAATGTTTGAATGTACTAGTATGCATCGCACAATTAGGCCCAGTACTTGAGACTCAAGCGATTTGCCTGGCAAATGGCTGTAATGTCACGTCAAGTTATGTCCGGCAGTTTCTCGATGCTGCTCACTTGTGATGTTTGTGGACTTGATCATTTTTTTTTGCATGCCTTGGCTTAAGCCTTGGCTTTCTGAAGGTGAGGTTCTTTGCCTTCTCATCGCAATGGAACAGGCTGGAACTGCTGGGCAAGTTTCGTAGTCTCGGCGCATTCATGGTCAAGTTGTGCTGGTGATGCTTGGATGGTTAGCTTTTTGTTATATCCAGCACATATCCAGCACACGGTTTGGCATCATTACTTAGTAATGATGCCAAACCGTGTGCTGCATATAACTGAATTGATTACAAAGCATCTCCATCATGCGTTCCGTTTTGTTTGCGAGAGCTTCAGGTGAAGTTGCAACGTTGGTTTGAAGTCCGTTACAGGTCTTCCCACCTTTGGAATATCCCGAGCCTTTTGGCTTGGCAGCCGGCTTGGCATAAGCCAGTCCAGGATCTGCCTTGGCCTCGCACTGACATGGCTCCCAAAGAGGCCTTGGTCTTGGCATTTGCTGGCATAGCGAGCATAGCGCTTTCGCTGCTTTGGAAGCGACGGAAGGGAGACCGAGAAGTTGCCCACGGCAGCCTCAGTGGCGAAAGTATCGAGGAATTGGCTAAAGAGTCTTTGCTAAACATGGCAACTTGCTAAGTTGATCAAGCCTTCCAAGTTTCACTTGACCTTTCGACTCAGTATGGGCAACCTCAGGAGATAAACGAGCTTTTGCAGGAACGGCATCCAAAGAAGATTCCTGGAGTGTCTGACGAGTTGTATCAATTGCCACCCTTCATTCCCAAGGCTGGACAGCAAAATGCTGCAAGTTCCCTTCTTGTAGACATGGAAAAGAGCAGCGTTGGAAGAGCCTTTAACCATGTAGGTTCAAGCATTTTCAAGCAGTAGGGCATCATTCAGATCAAATGAGAAAACGTTGAAAGCACGGTCATCCTGATTCCACCTGGTTTTGCAGTACTCTAGCATTTTGAGATGTTTCTCGCCCCCCACAAAAGCCGCAGGCGACCTGGAGCCGCTTGGGTGACGTTCTAAGAATCTGCGAGTTCCCAAACTCTCAGCGAATATCTGGTGAGCGCTTTATCACATTGCGTTTGGATGGCAGTGGCTCCTTGGGTAGAATGCTCAGGGATCTTTGGGCACAATCTGGAAAAGCCACGGAAGGAAGGAAGGAAGGTATGCGATCTAAACAGTCATGCATGCACACACAATCACACATAACGCACATATTATATACATGGATGTGTAATGATGTGTATATATATATATGTGTATATATTGTCAGTGGTGTCACCTTCACGTTTAAATGCTGTTTGGTTCGCCGATGTCGATTCGCTTTTGGATTGATTTGAGCCTCACGAGCATGAACCATGTGTGCTCCACTTGCCGGTCCGGCCCAAGGGACCCCTTTTGCCTTTGGCCCTTCACAGGGCTACCTTGCTACGTGCACGCACGCGGTGCTGCCATAGGCGGCGTCGCCTTGGCCTACGAAAGGCCCTGAGACCTGGAGGTCTGCAGGAAAAGGGCGCTACAAGTGCCTAGTGGGGGCCGCTTGCTTTTCACTTTCGCCTCGTGGGTTTTCGACCCTCACCTCCGTTGCCAGTTGTCCCCACGACACTGGTAGCGGAGCCTTGGTGTGCTTCGCTGGCCGCCAAGGCTGCCGAATTCGTTCTTTGGGCCTTGCAGCTTTTGAGAACTACATCCGAGCCCTACTTCATTGACGTGATCCTGAACCAGATCCCTGCGCTGCGCCCGCAACCAGTGCTTGTGGCAATCACTGCTTAAGACCTGGCCGAAGTCAGGATGGACCGAGACAGAGACAAAGATTGGTTGAAGTGCTCTTGGGATGGTGACCAGAGCACCTTTGGCGACTACGCCTCGCCTTTGCCAAGACGCCCAAGAAGAGCAAGTTCTTAGGCCCAGAACTGGTCTCCCAGCTCAGTGGCCGTGCCTGGGTGGTCACCCAGGAAGTGGCTCATGACCGCCTGGTTCAGGCGGATGGCGCCAAGTACCTGGTGGAGTTCCTCGAATCCCGGCTCGCTCGGGTACCGGTGCCGGATGCCGGCTCGAGAGCCGAAGACCTTCTGGTGAAGATGAGGAGGGCACCGGGCATGTCAATGTCGACCTGGTGCCACAATGTCCGAGAGGCATACCGGAGGCTCCAACATGCTTTCAGGAACCTTCACCCTTGTCTTCACCTACGACCTCTCCGCCTTCCAGGACTCCATCTTCCCGCTCATCGACGAAGACCCGATCACGGACTATGTCACCTACTAGGTCTTCATCCGCCAAACGCCAATGGCGGAAAGGTTCCAAGTCCCCCGTGCCTGAACCTGAGGCCGCTGATGAAGAGTTCGATGATTGGGAAGAAGATGAAGAGATCCCGAACTCCCCGTTGCACGATGACTTCAACGAGGAGGATGAGGAGGAGAACCTCTCCGAGACCAAGAAGGGCAAGGCTGGTCGCCGCTCCAGGACCAAGAAGAAGGATTCGTCGACCAGCGAAGATGAGGATGATTGGGGGATCCACCTCTGGTCTGACCTGGACACTGGTCTTCCCGAAGTGCTTCCCAGCGAGATCATCGGGTGGTTGATGCTACGCCTCTCGAACCTCACATCCCAACAACGCCTCAACATCCTCTCCACCACCGGCAACAGCTTAAAGGAGGATGACATCGAACGGGCGCTTCGAGGAGCTGAAGATGAACTTCGTGCCAACGAGTCCGAGCACAAGGGCAAGGGCAAAGGTGGCAAGAAGCCACGACTCAACTTCTGGGTCGAGCAGGATGGTGAATGGGGCTTGCTTGCCATCGAGGACTCTGAAGGTCAAGAATGGATGGAAGATGGACAAGTCCACTGGGTCGGCACGAACATCGGCCACATCTATGCCCAGACTACTTTGCCGTCTACCTCACCGACATGGGATGATGGTGATGATGCTGATGCTGATGGATTCTGGCATCAAGATGATCGTGGCGGCTACACCTGGTGGCAGCAGGAAGCTGATGGCGAGTTCTACCACTTGGACAATGGTGGAACCTACTGGCCGTGGTCTGAGCAGGCCTTTTGGAGTGCCACCCCGGAGGAGCAGAAGGAGATCCAAGAAGCCTACGCCGCCTACGAGAACAAGGTCCGTTCCTTCACCGACAGCCGGGCCTTGATGAAGCGCAAAACCCTGAGCCGAGGGTTCTATCCCAAGGGAAAAGGTAAGAACAAAGGTGGCTTTGGCAAGGGGAAAGGTTTCCAACGACCTCGACCTTCCTCCTCTTCGAGCTCTTCTACGAACACCGCCTTCAACGTGCAGCCCAATGATGTCATGGCCAACTCTGGCAAGGGCTACACTTCAGGATGCTTCATCTGTGGCAAGCATGGCCACGACTTCCGCTCCTGCCCTGATAAGGTGAAGGGCTCTGGAGGAAAAGGCAGTGGGAAGATCTTCATGGTGGAGCCCGTCCCGACCTTGATGGCCGAAGTGGCTGCGCCTGACGCTGAGGGCTATGCAGTCCTCGACACTGGGGCCACGGAGAGTGTGGGCTCTCTGCAATCCCTCGAGAGGATTCACCTTCGCAGGACCGAGCTCCTTGGTGATGTCAGTTCGATCGAGGTGATCAAAGGTCCCCAGAAGATGTTCAGGTTCGGTAATGGCAGCATGCAACAATCTGAGTCATACATCCACCTCAAACAAAACGTCGGCGCACATGAAATCAGCATCGGCATCTACACACTTGATGCGCAAGGAGTGCCGCTGCTGATAGGAATCCGTACTTTGGACCGATTAGGCGGCATTCTCGACACTGAACAGAGTGTCATGGTCCTGAAGGCTGTTGATCCAACTCTAGTCATCCCACTCAGAAGATCAAGGTCAGGACACCTGTTAGTCAACCTCTGCAGCAACTGGCTTTCGGGCGGCGCCACGATCCTTTTTCACGAGACACTTTCCTCACCGACCACTTCTGAGGAAAAAGTGTTCGTCGCCGAGAGCTTTGAGAAGTTCGATGCACTTCATGCCCCCTCAAGTCCTTCTTTGAGCACAACATGTTTTTCCACGTCTAGGACATCCATTTCACCTTCCCCGCTCATGTCGGCTGTTTCGAGTTCCTTTTGCACTTTGAGTCAATTTGCACGCAGTGATGTTTTTGTGATTGATGAAGTTCATGAAGAAAGCCTTCCAGTCATTGAAGCTGTACATGCCACTTTGCAGTCACACACGTCCATGTCAAATGATTTGGAAAGTGAGCACCTTTCATCAGCACTCACGGCACCGACCTTTTCATCTCAAGACGAGCGGACAGGCGTGTCCCTCAGTTTGAAGATCCTGGCCGTCCTCAGCTGTTCGACCTTCCTCTTCTCCGACCATGGCCACATCGTCGGCTCCGAGCGCCGCTGGGAAGAAGGAGACGAAAGGCAAGACCAAGGTCGCCCGCAGCTTCGAGGAGAAGTACGACAACAGTCGCACGATTGGTGCAGATCCCAGGGACCCTCGCACGGAGGGATCACCGTGCCACGGGAACCACAAGGTGGCAGCCAGCTACCGTGGAAGTGTCACGGGGAGCAACGGCCATGCAGCATGGACCGGTTGCGAGACCTGCAAGCTGAGGCTCACCTACACCCCGGCCTTCGGAGCTCACGCCTTGAACCGAGCACCAGGCCCAGTTCCTCAAGACGTCAAGCAGCAGGTCAAGACCCTGGACAACGAAGCTGCGCACAACCCCCTTCTTCGAGACAAAGCGATTGGGTTGGACGGGGCCGAAGCTTCCGCTTTGCGCCAGCTGGAGAAGATCCGTGCGAAAAAGGAGGCCTTGAAGAAGAGTGCCAAGGAAGACAACCCTCAAGAGACCACACCTCGCAAGACCCAGGGCTACATGCCTCCAGAGGAGATGAGCCACACTCCAGGCCGCAAGGAGCGCAAGTCCGATCAGACGCCCGAAGACCTGGAGTACGAGGGTCGTCTCAAGCCTTCATGGAGCACTATCTCATCGGGTTCTCCGGCAACTCCCGCGGCAGCTTCTCCCAGCCAGTGAACTCGCCCTCCAACGAGGGGCACTCCATCATCGAGAATGACATGACGGCGGACGAGAACTATAACCAGGACCAGGCGGAGCCCATGATCCTGGAGGCCACCGAGATC